CAGTTTGTCGATGACATTTGCTGACAATGATTCGCTTGTTATATCTAAAAAAGCTGAACAGGAATGCTAACACAAATTTGGAAAACTTTATTGTTCGAATGCATATTGATAAAAAAAAACAAGAAATAGATAAACAAATTGCAAGAGCTGTATTTGCAACACACAGCAGCTTTAGATGTATGGACTACCCGCAAGTGAAGAAGGCAATTGAATTGTTAAGACCTGGTTATAATCTCCCTTCTAGAGAAACAATTTCTACGACACTTTATGAACGAATTTATGAAGAAGGGAAAACTAAACGTTGTGGAAGTCTTTCTGGGTGTGGAGTAAACATATCTATTGATGGTTGGTCTTTTTCATATGAATATCTTTTTTATATGAAACTAGATACATCCGGAAAATCCCATACAAGTGAGTGTTTAACTGATATTGCAATATAATTTCCTGGTCTAAATCAAAATACAACTCTAACGTAACTGTTAACAGATAATGCTGCTAATATGACACTAATCAGAAGAACCATACAAGAGAAATTGGACCCAGCGTTTCAGTGACTTATGGGTGTTTAGCTCACCTTCTAAACCTACTTTGCGAAGATTTAAAAGTAAAGAGCACGTTACACAAATTATAGTATATTTTAGAAATAACCAAGTAGCTAGGGCCAAATACAGACAACTTAATGGAAAGAATTAGCGCTGCCAAGTGATGTGAGGTGGAATAGTATGGCAGATTGTTTGGAAGTATATGTAAGCCTATGGGAGAAACTATTAAAAGTGTGTGACGAGAATAAGAAGGAAATAGACTCGACAATATATAAAAAAGCTTCAAATATTGGTCTCAAACGCTCAGGGGAATATCTTAAAACCTATAACTGACAAATTGCACTTGACAAATTACAAAAAAAGAATGTTTTCCTCTCTGACGCAGTGGAAGTTTGAAAAGAATTAAATACATTACTTGAAGAAAAATTATCATCAGTACAAATGAAAGTTTTTGATAAACGGTATAAGCAGGCACTTACGTCTAACCATTACATAGCGTATATTTTATATGTTACTAAAATTAAGTATAAATTAACATCCGCAGAAAAAGATGATGGTTTAAACACAATAAAGGAAATGTACGCCAATACCGGTTTACTGCCACTAACTATAAAACTACAAGCAAGAATTGAACCATTTTCATAAGTAATGTTTTCAGAGAAAGTCTTAAGTAATGGTGCTTTACAATGGTGGGTGTGTCACAAAAACACATTGCTGAAGTAGAGAAGGTAGAGAGGTTTGTTCATCAGCTTCTGTTGAGAGAATATTTTCAACATTTGGACTTGTTCACTCTACTTTTGCAACAACTTAGGTGTTGAAAAGGCAAGAAAACTTGTTTTCTTATATAAGTATTATAATGAATGTTAATTTTTGTGTTAAATGTTTTGTTAATTTTGTAATAAAGTGCAGTTTTATTTTCAGTTTTGTTTTTAATTTAAATCATTGATTAAAATAAATAAGTCATAAAAGTTTTAAAAAAGACCACTTTTTCCTCTGTAAATGTTCTATATTAAACGATTAGAGACGTTTCGGGATCACCTCCCAACTTTGTTACTCTTAATCACAATCATATCTACAAAAAACCACAACAAAAACCATGAAAAACTCAAACTATGCAAACTATACATAAAACACAAAACCAAAACCGGTGTCGAATGTTAAAAGATTTACCTCAAATCCTGATATGATGTTTTAAAAAACTTTTTCAAATTACTATACATACATGTATGTGCGACTATCTTGAAATAACAATGTATGAAATGTCAAGGTTAGTTTTCGTTGCTCTCCAAAACTGGAAATCGTTTTTACTTTCTTCAACGCCCAATCTTCTTTATCTCTCACTTTATATATTTAATTAATCTAAGCTATTCGCATAATGCGCTCCAATCTTCCCAACATCAGTTTTGAAATAGACTGCATGATTGATATTTTTTGTTGTACAAATTGTTTCTAATTTTTTTCTTCTTATAGCATTATCATTTGTAATGAGTATTTTGGGATTTTCAAAGTCAAACTTATGGTTTAATAATACAGCATGGCACAGTGCTGTTTTATTATTTATTTTAATCTGTTTTGAATGGTATTGATGTTGTTGAATTCGTTTTTTAGCTGTTGTTTTGATTCCCCAATATACACTTTATCACAATTGGTACAATTTAACTTGTAAACGGTATCGATTTTATCTATCGTTTTAATTACGTCCTTTATGTTTGAAATCAATGTGCTAATTTTATTGTCATTGTATTTTGCAAATCTCTGAATACTGAAGTTATTTTATTCGTTAATGACGGTATGTATTTAATCTTACAAAACTTGTTCAAATTTGTTACTTTACTTGTTTCATCATTTATATTTCTATTATCTTGTTCAATCTTATTATTCTGATTATGTTTATCGAAATATTGTGTAATTAATATAGATTGGCCTTCTATTTTTTCTGTTGTTTACTTCTCAAAAAATATTATCTATTACATTGTTCTATGGGTCTCGATATGTTGGTAGTTGTATTATCTTGTTTATCATTATNAAATCAATGTGTTAATTTTATTGTCATTGTATTTTGCAAATCTCTGAATACTGAAGTTATTTTATTCGTTAATGACGGTATGTATTTAATCTTACAAAACTTGTTCAAATTTGTTACTTTACTTGTTTCGTCATTTATATTTCTATTATCTTGTTCAATCTTATTATTCTGATTATGTTTATCGAAATATTGTGTAATTAATATAGATCATTTATATTTCTATTATCTTGTTCAATCTTATTATTCTGATTATGTTTATGATTTGTTTTTTTCTGTTGTTTACTTCTCAAAAAATATTATCTATTACATTGTTGTATGGGTCTCGATATGTTGGTAGTTGTATTATCTTGTTTATCATTATCTAGAGAATTTATAATTCTATACCAAGCATTATTAAAAAAGTACTCATTTGAAAACCCCAAAATACTCACTACAAATAATAATACCATAACAAGAAAAAATTTAGAATCAATTTATATAACAAAAAATATCAATCATCATTCACGCATTACGCGAATATCTTAATGAAAACTAACCTTGAAATTTCATACATTGTTATTTCAAGATAGTCGCACATTTTGGACGCACGTACATGTGTGCGTCCATGTATGTATGTATGTATAGTAATTTGAAATAGTATATTAAACAACAAGTTTCGTAAGACACGTTTGAAAAGCACGAATTCAAGTTCATTTTAAGGAATGAGTGCTTTAAGTCTTATGAAACGTGTTTTTTATGCTATTTTTTGTAATTCGTGTTTTTATCCTTTTTTTTCTCAAAAATAAAATAAATTTTGATAATGTAGGGAAATAGGTATGTAGCAGTTGGTAACACCGTAACACTTGAAAATAGAAATTTGAATTGACAATTAGAAACTGTCAAAACACAACATGTATTCACCTGACAAAAATGTTTCATGTACACCTCCCAAAATAAGAGAAATTGCTCAGTGTTCAATGTCCTCATCATCGTGGACCTTGTATTCGATGCTAAGAACGTGTTTAAACATCCATAGACAAACATTGTCACATTGACAACTAGAAAAATTAATGACTCAATGTCACCAACTTGAACTGGTTCCATAAAATGTTACTAAAATCTTATAACAGCATCGGATGCTGTAAGGAATCTCATTACAGCACCCGTTTGAGCACTGTTATAGCTTTCATTACCGTCGCGAATTACAAAATAGTATATTAAAAAACAAGTTTCGTAAGACACGCTTGAAATGCACGAATTCAAGTTGAAAAACGAGTGGCGAAGCCACGAGTTTTTTAATGAATGAGTGCTTTAAGTCTTATGAAACGTGTTTTTTATGCTATTTTTTGTAATTCGCCTTTTATTCCTTTTTTTTTAACAAAAATAAAATAAATTTTGACAATGTAGGGAAATAGGTATGTAGCAGTTGGTAACAACGTAACACTTGAAAATAGAAATTTGAATGACAAATAGAAACTGTCAAAACGCAAAACGTATTCACCTGATAAAAATGTTTCATGTACACCTCCCAAAATAAGAGAAATTGCTCAATGTTCAATGTCCTCATCATTGTGGACCTTGTATTCGATGTTAAGAACGCGTTTAAACATCCATAGACAAACACTGTCACATTGACAACTAGAAAAATTAATGACCCAATGTCACCAACTTGAACTGATTCCATAAAATGTCACTAAAATCTCATTACAGCATCGGATGCTGTAAAGAGTGTCATTACAGCACCCGTTTGAGTACTGTAATAGCTTTAATTACCGTCGCGAATTACAAAAAAGTTTTTTAAAACATCATATCAGGATTTGAGGTAAATCTTTTAACATTCAACACCGGTTATTCTTTTGTGTTTTATGTATAGTTTGTGTTTTTCATGATTTTTGTTGTGGTTTTTTGTACATATGATTGTGATTAAGAGTAACAAAGTTGTTGACTGAAGATGGGAGGTAATCCTGAAACGTCTCTAACCGTTTAATATAGAACATTTGCAGAGGAAAAAGTCTGGTCTTTTTTAAACCTTTTATGTAACAACACCTCTAGTTTAATTTATCGTTTTATAAATAAGTAATTTGATTTAAATCAGTCGAACCCTGATGTTTATAAATCAATTTACTAAAAAATTATAATTTTTTTCTTGACGAATTTACACGAATTTAAACACAAATGATAAAAAATAAATATGGAGGACTTATACTGGTCGACTCTAGGCAGAAAGTGGTCGACTACTGGCACATTAGGTTCTTTTGAACCTATTTTAGGATAATTTTATTTTGTTCTAGCATGAATCTATTGTAGATTTTCAAAAAGAAATGTTTTACCTATCTTAATTTAAAAAGATCAGTTTATTATGCCTTTAGTTCTATTTTTTATTGGCTTTTGAATTTGAAATATTTCTTAAGTGTTCGACCACTTAAGAAATGTATTAAAAAAAAAATTTAACCTTACATTTTATCAAGGACTGTAACAACATCCCCAACTCGGAAGGGTAATAAATGAGGCCCATCAGACGAAGAAACTTTAGCTTGAACTTGTTCTGGTCGACAATCAACTAATTTAGTAGCAACATCCGCAAATCTAGGTCTAGTAGAAGCATCATGTCTCCAACAATCCAACATCAATTGGTAATGATCCAATGGACAACAATCAGGTTGTTCTAACCTTTGATAATTTGGTTCATCAATCGCTTCTAAAATTTGTTGCCCAGTTAAAGCGGCCCAAGGTTGAAAACCATACGAAAACATTTCCCACAACGTCACAGCAAACGCCCAAACGTCACTCGCTGATGTAAATCTTAAATAACTAATACATTCGGGGGCGCACCACGCGATCGGTAGTTTAAGATTAACATTAAAATTGGTTTGATAGTAATCTTTTCCTTGCCCCAAAGCTCTGCTCAAACCAAAATCGGAAATTTTAACTTTATTTTTCGAAAAGACTAAAATATTTCGTGCCGCTAAATCTCGGTGTATTAATCGTTTCGCTTCTAAATACTGCATCCCGTGGCATATTTGCACGGCAAAATCACATAGTGTAAGTACAGGAAAACTCGACCGTAAACTGGGTTCTTTTAAGCATTCTAATAAAGAACGTAAAGGTGCCAACTCGGTGACTAACATTAGGCTTACTGTGTCTAAAACGACTCCATACAAACGTACGATGTGTTCGTGATCAATCGAATGCATTATAGCCGCTTCTTTTAAAAATTCTATTGTATTCGTTTGCATTCGATCTCTTGCTAAACATTTAATTGCAACCTAAAATAAACGTAAAATAATGCAATTGTTATGAAAATCAAAACTATTTTGGATATTTAGAAATCAATATTGGCACAATTCCGATTTATTTTATTACCTGAATTCGTTCCCCTTCATTACACCAAACACCTTGTTGCACAACCCCAAATTCACCCATTCCCAATTCCTTATTAACTGTAATATTAGCGGCGGGAATAATATGTTTACTGGGAACCCTTGGGGCCTTAGAAACAGGAACATTGTCGCTATTTAACGGGTGTGTAAATTCGTGCGTTGTTGTATCATGATTTCGTGCGGTCTTAATAAGTTTTTTAATTTTCGATAAATAATTATTGGGAAAATGTTTGTCGTAAAATTTCTTTAGTCGCCGCATCTCCGGTTTAGACATCCCGAGTTCGATCAAATCAGTTTCGGTGGTGAATTTTAATTGGGATGGGTGCGTAANTTTAGCCACATGTCTCTCAAGACGGCTAAACCCGAATGATTCTAGTTCTAGGTCTTGTGTTAGTTTTAGTGATAGTGCTGGTGTAAAACTAAAACTAACACTAGACCGAGAACTAGAAACAATCGGGTTTAGCCACATGTCTCTCAAGACGGCTAAACCCGAATGATTCTAGTTCTAGGTCTTGTGTTAGTTCTAGTTTTAGTGCAATATAAGTGTACAACATAGTAATATCTTATACTAACTAGCGATACCTATCACCGCCATTAAAACTAACACTAGACCGAGAACTAGAAACATTCGGATTTAGTTGCACGTCTCTCAAGACGAACAACCCCGAATAATTCTAGTTCTAGGACTTGTGTTAGTTTTAGTAATAGTGCTGGTGTAAAACTAAAACTAACACTAGACCGAGAACTAGAAACAATCGGGTTTAGCCACACGTCTCTCAAGACGGCTAGACCCGATATTTTCTAGTTCTAGGTCTAGTGTTAGTTCTAGTTTTGATTCAATAAAATTATACAACATAGTAATATCTTATGCTAACTAGCACTATCTACCACTGCCACTAGAGCTAACACAAGATCTAGAAATAGAATCATTCGGCTAATAATAGATGCTAGTTAGCATAAGATATTACTATATTGTATAATTTTATTGAATCAAAACTAGAACTAACACTAGACCTAGAACTAGAAAATTTCGGGTTTAGCTGCACGTTTCTCAAGACGGCTAAACCAGAATGATTCTAGTTCTAGGTCTAGTGTTAGTTCTAGTTTTACACTAGCACTATCACTAGTTCTTGTTTGTGTACAA